GATTTTTAAAAACGCTGTAGTGCTGTTAAAGAATGCCTTGATAATGTTGGCGCCACCTCTTATTCCATATATCAGTGCCTTTTGATGTAAAAACCATCAAAGTGTGATATTTTCATGTTTGACTTTCATAGCAAACCTGAGAAGTAGTTAGGTTGGGTAATACTATATCTTATCACAATGAGGAAATAGTCCCAAAGAGGATGAATCTTATTCAAGATTCAGCGCCAGTCTTCAGCAGAGCCAGATCTAGAATCCAAGATCTCTTGGCTTCCCTTGTCAGCATGCTGCCTTTGTGCTCCCTGTATTTCCTGGTTAGTGATAACTAAGCCTTTTTCAGAATAGCATTGTTATAAAAATGCTGCTCTGTTGAAACTTGAGAGATTTAAAACACAATATTGCAAGAGCCTCTCTGTCTCAGTGGCGTATTTCTTCAGCCAGCTCTTTCTAGCTTATTAAAACAAACCGTGTCATACTTAGAAGACATTCACTCACATATTTTATTTTATCAGTGCATTTCCTTACAATTACACAATGTCATTCCAGGAGGAGTGAGAAATCAGGCCACGGCCAGCATTGCTGCCTTTTCTGGTTTGAAGCACTGGTAGGAAGAGGCGGTTAAATGTGAATACCAAAATGCTTCTTTGTAGAAACAAAGGAAAAACATAGCTCTTTAAAAAATGTTTTAGGTTATGCATAGGACAACTGGAATCACACACCCACCTAAAATGCTAATATGTTTGTTTCTTGCAGCAATATTGAGGTTTTTAAAATGATAACAGTATTACATATACTCACTATAACAGTATTCTGAGCCAGCTCAGCTGCTTCAGAGCTTTTGTGTGTCCTTGGATAGATTAACTTAATTTCTCTAGGATTCAGTTTCCTCATTTTATTTTTAAAATTATTTTATTTTTAAATACCTCATCATGGACTCCAAAGGCATGTCTCCTCATTTTAAAAACTAGGATAATACCTACCACAAAGGTTGATGTGAGTATTAAATAGAGCTTTATACAGAATTCCCTCAGGCATTTTAAAGTTTCTGTAATAGGGATGTATCTTACAGTTGATGGGTACATTTAGGGTAGTCTCCCCACCTCCCATGCTAATAATGGTGTATCTTACAATTGATGGTATCAAATTGAGGTAATAATTACCTGTAAAAAGTTTAATGCAATGTGAAGTATAATATGCATTCAGTAAGTAGCTGCTATCATTTAAAAAAATTTGAATATGGCTCCTGTGTTAAGGCCATATCGGAGGAAAGTGTGTTCTCTACTGGGAGGTTGTTCTACATACAGGAAGCCAGATGTGTGAGGAGGCTGTAGATAGGCTGAAGAGGAGAGCTCATATCCTCTAGGAACCTGTTAATAGTTATTGAGGGTGGGAGAAGGCAATGAGTTTTGTGGTCATGTTAAAGCCGGTATCTATACCATTGAGGAAAGAGCTAGCCAGAGAAGGACTTAAAAACTAGATTTTCTTGATTTGTGCAACTATCATAGAAATGTTTATTGTTGCTTTTTATCATTTCATGTTCTTTAAGGAAGTCTTACATTGAATGTCTTCAACCTTATCTCAGCTGTGGTTTAGAGAGAGCTGGTCAGAACCAATTGTTTATTGTTTGGCCATGGTGTTAAAGGGAGAGCCTGGCTCCTTTTGGTAGGAGTAGCAGTATTTGGCTGGAGACTCTATTGGGAAAGTGAACTTTAGGAAAGGGGTTAGGAGCTAGGTGCAGTGTCACATGTGTATGGTTCCAGCTACACTCTGAAGGCTGGGGTAGGAGAATGGTTTGAGCCCAGGCCAGCCTGGGCACCATAGCAGGACCCCATCTCTAAAAAAAGAAAAGAAAGGGATCAGGGGATTAGGATGTAATGGTTTGTTCAACTGCTCCTCCCCTTTTGGAAAACTTCCTTCCAGTGGCATGCTTGGACGTGCCAAGTTGCACTTTATGAGACAAGGCAGCCTGTCCTTACAGCTTGTCCCCTGCAAACAAATCTGAAAGATCTATCCTCTAGTTTAAGTGTCTCTAATTTGGATAGAGAGAAGAGTGAAGATGTGAATCGTAGATAGATGGAACATAAAATGAGCTCATACTGTGCAAACTTTTTAGTAGCCTCTCTTTTAAATATAGGTTTACAGTGTGTTTTGGTATACACAAAAGTATTTAGGGATAAAGGGACATTAACTCTCTGACTTAAACAGTTCAAAATGTATGTGGGTGGAAGAGAAAAATATAAAGCAAATATAAAGTGCTAACGTTTGGGAAATCTGGGTAAAATGTATGTGGGAAATCCGCTTACTGGTTTTTACAGTTTTTCTGTAAGTATGAAATTATATTAAAAGAAAAAGTTAAAAGTGTATATCTTGAACATCTTTCCATGCGAACACCTGTTTATGTTATTGAACCTGCATAACATGCCATTGTGTGGATGCACTGTAAAGGTAGCTAGGCTCCTGCTGTTTGGCCTTTGCTCATTTCCAATTATTTGCCAGTGGACACAGTGCTTTGTGGAGATCCCTAAATATGATATGCCCTCACATATTTGGAATGAAATCCCTGTTCCCCTTTGAAACACCTTCACTCCCATAATGGACTTGCCAGGAAAATGAACAGTATATTAACCAACTAATGCTTGAATCTAAGACCTTTTAGAATTTTAAATGGGTTAAGTGGTGACTACTTATTAGTATCTGGATAAGGTAAATGTTGCTAATCTAAAATAAGCTCTCAGAATTTCATCAGTCTTGGTTCATCCCACATAACAAAACTCTTGAAAAAATGAGTATTTCGGTGACATGAAACATCTTGGCAAAGTGTCAACTGCTTGAGCAATTATGAAGATCAGAAAAAAGCAGTCTCTTGAAAGGGTGTGGCTTTTTGAACTTGTGTTGGAAACAACCGACAAATCTCTTTTGCCTTCATTTCAAATGTGCTGTACTATTTTTATTGGTTGCCAAATATTTTGATTGGATTTCTAGTCTCATTCCAACAACATGTAGAATGTGGGGAAAGTATTTTCCAGACTCAGCATAGTCATGTGCTTGTTCTGTTGATTCACCTTCAAATTTTAATTGTCATTTTTTCTAATGATGTGTGTAAAAAATTGAAACCATAGAACACAATTACATTTTACCCTCAGGTAAAAACAGCATTTATTTCTGTATCTTACATTTGGGCTAAAATAGAGCACAAATGTTTGGTCTAGTTTTTAGGTGTTACTTAATGGTTTTGAAAACAAAAAGCAGTCCTGGTTGTTTGCGTGCATAATGCCTGGAGATGAGTCCAGTGGTTCCCGCCAGATGTAAGGGGCACTCTTGATTCTCTTTGGTTATACCTGACTTCCTGGCCCTACCTTTATAGTAACAAACCACCGACATTTTATTAAGACTTTCCAGGAAATGTGCATGTTTTAAAAACAGACTCCATCTCATTTTTTTGTTAATTTTTAAATTTTATTTTAAAATTTTTATCTATTTTGAGACTGGATTATGAGACTGGCTAATTTCTTTATTTTTGATAGAGATGGGGTTTCACAATGTTGCCCAGGCTGGTCCCAGATTCCTGAGCTCAGGCAGTCTGGCTGCCTCGGCCTTCCAAAGTGCTGGGATTACAGGTGTGAGCCACCATGCCTAGCCTACATCTGAATTTTGACATGTCCATTAGATTCAATTACAGGATGGTGTGAATGTTCGTATGCTCTATCTTTTCTTTTCCTTCTTCCATAGAGTGAATTGGAATGAGGGAAATGGTAGATTAATAAACCCTAGGTTGCAAATTAGCAACCAGTGCTATGTTAAATTACACTTAAGTTAGAGCCAGGAACAGCAAAGAATCCCTTGCGAACTGTTCTGTAGCTGCAAGGTAGGTATTGTATTAAATGGACCAAAAGAGCAGAGCTTCATGCATAGCAGTGGAAATAATGGGAAAGTCTTATGTTGTATAGTACTTGCTGTACTGTGCCCACAGTGCCTGGCTCACAAATTGACACAGAGCAAGTTGCTGTTCCATTGAAAACCTTATGTCTCTAGTTCAGAAAAAGTATTGATTTTAATTTAACTTTGCCCACGTTCTCTGCTCTTCAAAATATGTAGACTGTAAAATACCACTCCCTAGGCACTGTCTGGTGGTGATACCAGCAGCAGCAATAATCATTATTTGTTTAGCTAGGTATAAGGAAGAGGTAGAAATAGTGGATCTTTCTGCTATTTAAGATAATTAATCTCTCTTCCCCTTACAGTCTTTCTCTGGGAAAATTTTGTGTGCGTGTGTGTATGTATGCATGTATGTATAAGGTGAAATGCTGACTTTAGAGGTATTTTTAACTTTAAAATGAATTTTGGCAGGCTAGAATGTTTATAAATAATAGGCTATCCTTGATTGGATTTAGGACCCCTTACTTTGGAGCAGTAACGTGTTCAGATGATCATCGTCTTTGTTTTCATTTAATGTGGCCAGTAGGTTAGCTGTTACTATAAGGTAGCTGACTGCGACACCTATTCTAATGTCATTTTGTATATCTGTTATTCCCTAGGTTTACTAATATACTAATTTTCGTTAATAAAGAAATTTTCCATTAGAAACTTCTGACCTGAGGGTCAACAGTTAGTCTACCAGTGTCTCCATCATTACTATGTTTCCTAACAAGATTAAGTTAGATTCATCTCTATGGTCTTACTTCATCCAAATGTAAAGTCGTTGTTATATATATGCAGCCAGAGTGATCTTGGCTCACTGCAACCTCCACCTCCCTGGCTCAAGCGATCCTCCTGAGTAGCTGAGGTCACAGACATGTACCCCTTGCATGGCTAATTTTTGTATTGCTTTTGATAGAAATGGGGTTTCACCATGTTGCCCAGGCTTCAAATGTAAAGTTCTTAATACTTAGCTAGTAGAAGGTAAGCCTTGAGATGAGTATTGCTGCATTCATACAATCATCTACCAACACCATCACTCTTGACCCTTGTTTACTAACCTTTTGTTTTTTGCTTTTCACTTTCAGCAGACCTACTCCAATGAAGTCCATTGTGTTGAAGAGATTCTAAAGGTGAGTTCACTGCTACTCTTTCTCATTTGAAGCAATACTTAAGTAGGCAGGGGGTATATTCATTTACTTTCACTTTAAAGAACAGTTGCCATTGGCTGGGTGTGGTGCCTCATGCCTACAATCTTAGCGCTTCTGGAGGCTGAGGCTGGCAGATTGCTTGAACTCAGGAGTCGCGACCAGCCTGGGCAAAATGGCAAAACACCGTATCTACTAAAAAAATTAGCCAGACATGGTGGCCTGTGCCTGTAGTCTCAATTATTTGGGAGGCTGATTCAGGAGTATCACTTGAACCCAGAAGGTGGAGGTTGCAATGAGCCGAGATTGTGCCACTACACTCCAGCGTGGGCAGCAGAGTGAGACTATGTTTCAAAAAATAATAATAATAATAAAATAAATAAATAAAAAATAAACAACAGTTGCCATTCCCAGCCCCCTTTAACCACTTCTCCCCTACTCCCATCTCCAAAGGCAGATGTAAACCAGAATAGTAACAGAAGTCTTGGAATGTAATTGAATTATCTGCCAGATTAAAAAAAAAAAATTTATTGCATTTTAGGTTTTGGGGTCCATGTGAAGAACATGCAAGATTGTTGCATAGGTACACATGTGGCAGTGTGATTTGCTGCCTTCCTCCCCATCACCTGTATCTGGCATTTCTCCCCATGCTGTCTCTCCCCAACTCCCCACCCCCTGCTGTCCCTCTGCTATTTCCCTAAAGTGTAGTGCTGCCCTCCCTTTGTCCATGTGTTCTCATTGTTCAACACCCACCTATGAGTGAGAACATGCGGTGTTTGATTTTCTGCTCTTGTGTCAGTTTGCTGAGAGTGATGGTTTCCAGGTTCATCCATGTCCCTACAAAGGACACGAACTCATCGTTTTCTATGGCTGCGTAATATTCCATGGTGTATATGTGCCACACTTTCCCTGTCCAGTCTATCATCGATGGGCATTTGGGTTGGTTCCAGGTCTTTGCTATTGAAAACAGTGCTGCAATGAACATTCGTGTGCATGTGTCCTTATAGTAGAACGATTTATAATCCTTTGGATATATACCCAGTAATGGGATTGCTGGATCAAATGGAATTTCTATTTCTAGGTCCTTGAGGAATTGCCACACTGTCTTCCACAATGGTTGAACTAATTTACACTCCCACCAACAGTGTAAAAGTGTTCCTGTTTTTCCACATCCTCTCCAGCATCTGTTGTCTCCAGATTTTTTAATGATTGCCATTCTAACTGGCGTGAGATGGTATCTCAGTGTAGTTTTGATTTGCATTTCTCTGATGACCAGTGACAATGAGCATTTTTTCATATGTTTGTTGTATCTGCCAGATTTTATTAATTACATTGACATATACAAACTAAAAGGCATTTAATTTGGACCAGATTTTTATGACATTTCTCATAAGTTTTTCTGGTTGTCCATAAAGACCCAGGAAAGTTGCTCACTTCCCAGAGAGGAAACACCCTGTATTGACGTGGTGTGGGAAGCACCAGTGGTTAAACAGTGCTTGATTGATAACTCTTCGCATTCTGTAGGTGATAGCTAATACCTGTGGTCTTGTACATATGGCCTCTTCTTCAGTGGCACCCTAAAATTTTAAATAAAAAGAAAAATAGCAGGAAGTAAATGGTCATCTTTAGACTTACCTTGAATGGTTACTTTTTGCTCTTGTTTATTGAAACTATGCCATGGACATTTGTGCTTCCACAAATATATCATTGAATACATTATCCACTTGTTCAGTTTTTCTTGTACAAGGATGACAAATTCCTTCTAGAATTTAATTCCAGGGGAATAGTGTTAATTTTCCTCATGAACTGGCATTCTTTCTTTTTATCAGAGAAGAATTATGTATAATATCATGTCTCCCATTTTGCCTTTAATTTCCAGGAAATCCAGAGTTTAATTTTAATGCACAGGTACAATAACTGTAAAAACTGAGGGTTTCATGTGTTTTTTCTTCCTTTTCTGTGGCTTTTAATTTGCTTCTAGGTCAATTTTAATGATATTCTTGTCTTTTACTATAGAGTTTCTGACATGTTTTTCTTTTTTTTAATTAGTAGGAGAGATGTAGTGACTGTTATTTAAATCTCTACTGCTCATTTTTTCTCAAAATACATGTTTTCCCAATTTTATTTTTTAACTTTTCATTTTAAAGTATTAGGTAATGATGGTGCCAAAACCACTAATTAAATATGTTGGTTATCTCCTCACTTGTGAAATTTTTGACAGTAATAGTATCTAACCAGTTGTTTGGAAAACAGTTTTATTGTTTTAGTTTTATAGTCTTTTGTCCCCTGTTTTGTAGTTAGGGTTTTCTGAGAAAGAAATAACCTCTAGAGAAACATACTTTTTTTTTTTTTTTTTTTTTTTTTTGAGACAGAGTCTTGTTCTGTAGCCTAGGCTAGAGTGCAGTGACGTGATGTCAGCTCACTGCAACCTTCACCTCCCAGGTTCAAGCAATTCTTGAGACTCAGCCACCCAGCCTGGTGGCAGGGATTACAGGCATACCACCACGCCCTGCTAATTTTTGTATTTTTAGTAGAGATGGAGTTTCACCATGTTGGCCAGGCTGGTCTCAAATGCCTGACCTCAAGTGATACACCCTCAAGTGATTCATCCGCCTCGGCCTCTCAAAGTGCTGGGATTACAGGCTTGAGCCACTGTGCCCAGCTGAGAAACATACTTTGAACTGCAAACAGTGAGGAATTTTTGTCAACCAGCATGTAAGATTAAATAAGTTACCTTGATTATATTTTTGTATTGGCCTTTTCCTCTTCTATTTCTGAAATTTTTTGGCATGGCAAGTTGTAAACATAAGAAGGCACTTAATTATAAACTATGGCCTTAGTGTTTTTTTAATTTTTAAAAAAACAAAATTACTTTTTCATTAAAAAAAAATTTCACTATGGTTTGTAGGCCTTAGTATTTCCTCTGAAATTGTACATGATTTGTTCTATCATTATTTCAGAAGTAAATGCAACAGTGCAGATTTGTTGTCTTCTGCATGTGTCAGATGTTTCTCTTAGGTTTTGGTGTGTGTTAGCATAAGACATGTCATATCCTTTATTTAGAAATGATGGTATTACAGCATCAGACAAGCATTTTTAATTTAATGAACCCATCTATCCTCCTTCCCTTCTCACCCAACATCATGTTAGTGATGTCTTGCTTACCTGAAAATGCTTGAGAGTGAGTGGTCAGTACATAAATCATGCACATTTATGATTTGGAAATCATAACTTGGGAAAGCAAACAGAATGATGTCCAGGACTGAACAGATCATAGGCCTTTCATATTGGAGACTGTCCCTTCTCTTTTGTCTGTGACCTCAGTTAAGTCATACATCCCCACCGGGCTTTGGTTTCCTCATTGGTAGAATGAAGGCCCTGGGCTGGTGGATGATCTCTAGGGTCCATTCCAGCTCTCAACTCTTGACGCTGATCCAGATACTACTTTCCGTTGCCTCCTGGTTCCCGTTCTCATCTTGTACCAGCAATTTATTAAGATTGCCAGGAATCTAAACACAAATCTTTCTGATGGGTGATAGAGACAGTAAATAGGTTCCTAACAGAGAAAATCAATCATAGAAGATAATGTTTGGTTCTCTGGAGGCAGTATTTGAGGGGGAAGTGTTGTAATGAAGGGGAAGCGGTGGCCCGTAACTGCAGCAGGCTAATGGAGTAAGAAGATAGCAGACCAACACTGTTAGTTGTCAAGCAATGGTCGTGCACTAGAGTCCAGAAAGGGCAACGTGCCCTTGGTGGGCGCATGGAGACACCTCAGATTTTCTACTTACAGGGAGGCTTGGCCTGCACAGGATCTTGGGGGATTAATGCAGGCATTAACTCAGTGCAGCATTTCCATGATGCCAGTACAATGAGTGGTAGCACTATTTGTATGCTCATTCGTTTATTCAACAAATACTTGTTAAGCCTCCACAGCACTGGGATGTTGTAGTGGATAAAACAGAGTGCTTGCTATCATGGAGATCATAGTGGGGAAGAGAAATATACAATATAGTGCCGAGTGTTGATGGATGCTATGAATAGTGCAACAGGCCAGTAAACAGAGGGCTAGGCAGAGGGAGAAATTGGTGGAAAAGCCTCAAGTAGTTATCAGGTTGGTGTATTAGAGGAACAGTTAGAACTAGACAGTGTCTCCAGAGCAAAATGAACAAGGAGAAGAAGACAGTAGCTGTTGGGCCTGGAGGGCCAGGACTGAGGTAGGTCCCAGTGATTTGTCTCTGTTCACATGACAAGTCATTGTTAAGGTAGGAAGTGAAATCATGGCCTTGAGAGTCTTTCTGAGAAGCCTCTTCTTCTTAGTAATGGCCCCAATTCTCTTAAGTCCCTCTCCTAAGCTAGGCATGTAGGGAAGTATATAAATGCTCAGACTACCAGGGAACCACTTAGGGTTTGAAAGAATTTATGTACTTTCCAACTGCCTAATTTAATAGCTGGGACAGCCTTAGGCATTGAGAGTACAATGGATGTTTAGGAATAATTGGTGACTAGAAGTCATAGATACCATTGAGATTCCAAATAAATTACTGAGAAACATAAAGGTGATGTTTCCATATACTTTCTCAATTAATTATTACATGTTTTTGTATTGTAACATTATAATGGTTCTGTGCCTTAAAGTATTATCCAATAAATGAAACAGCTGGAAGCTTTCTTTGGTGCAGTTTTGAAATTCTTTTAAAACTGGACTTTTAATTAAAAGTTATAATGCTTTAACAAAAAAATAAAAAAAAAGTTGTAATGCTTTTAATTTATTAAGTGCCTTCTGTGTACTGTTCATTCAAGCACTGTACATAAAGTGCCCTTATGATATTTTGAAAATAAGTGGTCCTAGTTTACCTCTTAGCATTGAGGCTTCAGATGACTTACCTAGGCTGACAAGGCTGGTAAGGGTTGGAGTTAGGATTGCAATCTAGGTCTCAGCTTCAGAGCTATTATTCTTTCCGGTATATTTTAGGACAGATCTCCTGTTCTGTCCTGGACAAAGCAGATGTCCAGTGAGTAAACAAGGGCATGATTTCACTTTTAACAAAAATTAAGAAAACCAGCATTGGTTACATTGCTTGTCACTGTACAAGTTTGCTGCTGTCTCTCCTGAGGCTGTGATAACCCGTGGAGCTGCAAGGGGAAAGACAAGGGGAGACGTGCAGAGGTTGGAAGTGGAAGTACTTGATAGAAAGCCATCTCCAGCTGTTGCAAGGGTCAAATGACATTTCTGTGGAGATAGGTTAGCCAGGATTTTGAAAAAAATGAGGTGTTAGAATGCATCATGTGTTGTGCAGGAGGGGTAATATAGCATGCTGTCGGGTCGCAGATTGCTGGTAGAATTGTGTGTTCATCATTATTTTGTTGTTGAGATGGAGTCCCACTCTGTCACCCAGGCTGGAGTACAGTGGTGTGATCCCAGCTCACTGCAACCTCTGCCTCCCAGGTTCAAGCCATTCTCCTGCCTTAGCCACCTGAGTAGCTGGGATTATAGGCATGCGCTACTGCACCCAGCTCATTTTTGTATTTTCTTTCTTTTTTTTTTTTTTTTTAAGTAGAGATGGGGTTTCGCCCTCTTGGCCAGGCTGGTCTCGAACTCCTGACCTCAGATGATTCACCCACCTTGGCCTCCCAAAGCTGGAGATTGCAGGTGTGAGCCACCACACCTGGCCACACACTGAGTGTAAGCCAGTTTGCTGGGCAGATCTGACACTTGTGGGACCCACCTTCAGCTTTCTGGGGTGTCTTGACCCAGTCATTTTGGAACTCAGTTTTTTTTCAGTCTGTGAGATATTGGGATTGTAGTTAATGATCTCCAATGCCATTTTGGCCTTTAAAAAAAACACATGTGTGTGTGTGTATATTTGCAATTTGACACATCTTTTTCTGACATATCTGTTTTTTACAAGTATTTTTAGCAAAGTAAAATTTGTGAATGTGTTTAGAATAATTCAAGATACATATATCAATTGTAAGTTTTAGAAATCTTTTCTTCAACCAAGAAAATAGTAGAAATTAAGCTTCTCTTAATGGAAAAGAAAGGTAATTTTAAGTTCCTCTTCTTCAAAAAAGTTCTTACATGCTAATAGTGTGTATCAGGGAAGGGTCAAATCCATTAAAACTCTCCCAAGTGGAACAAGTGACCTGAATTACTTGTTTGCTTAAGTCAAACAGGAAAGTTCTTCTTCCTTTGAACTGAAATAATTCCAGGAAATGCAATAAAGAAGCTGAGGGAGAAAGAATGCATAGAGGAGAGACTGCTGTTCCAGCCCAGCCTGTTACCTACAGTCTTCACAGCTCCACAAGCTCTGGCAGTCCCTGTTACATACAGTTTACGTGCTCGATAATATTCAGGGAGTTAAATTCATTTCCCTTCTACACCTTGATTGTCTTCTGCAAATGGACTTTTTGAAGTTTTGTATGTTGGAGAGCTTCAACTTTTCAATGTAGCCCACTGAAATAGAAGCTTTTTTTAAAGTACATGAAATAACTTCTAAGATTGTACTTTCCATTTACCATCAATCCGTTCTACATCAAATTCAAAACGTTAAGTAGCAGTGAGTCTTCTAATTATAATTTGCTTTTTCTTCCCCTTCCAAATCTCTTTCCAGGAAATGACCCATTCATGGCCTCCTCCTTTGACAGCAATACATACGCCTAGTACAGCTGAGCCATCCAAGTTTCCTTTCCCCACAAAGGTAATTCCTTAAAAGTATGGCAGGCACTGCATCCATCTTAGTGGAAAGCTTAAGGCATTGCTATGAGGCAGATTGATAAAAGTATTATTTGTTCAAATCTTTGGAAAAGAGGTTAAAATTATGATTAATTTAGTTTCTACAGTGTTCACAATGCTTTCAAACACTTTATTCTCCAACTTATGTTAGTTAAGAACATCTTGGATTTTCATAAAGCCTTATAACTTGTAAAAAGCATTTAGGACTTTCCAATATATTCTCTCATTTAAGAATCCTTACTTTAAGAGATGGGGAAACAGAGGAGAGGGAAATTGAATGTGTGATTTCTTGTTCAGAGTTAGATATACACATATGCACATACATCTTACATGTCTCACACTCCCTACTGTTCTTGAGTTTAATGTGATCAGTTACATGAGTGCTTGTTTAATAACAAGCAAATAAACTGCTGACTTGTGTGTTTCTGTTACAGTATTTATGAATGATGCGTTGAAACACTGCCATTTTCCTTTTTTTTTGGTTTATCCTTTTGGATAATCTTCAAAATGTAGAAATAGTACCTTGAAGTCTGTGTTTTTTGTTCAATCTGATATGCATGTGCATTGTTTTACGTATATAATCCATACATGGAGAGAGTGAAAGAGCTATTTTCTATGAAACTGTTGTGAAAAGTAGTTCTAGGCTGGGCACAGTGGCTCATGCCTGTATTCCCATCACTTTGGGAGGCTGAAGTAGGTAGATCACTTGAGTCCAGGAGTTCAAGACCAGCCTGGGCAATGCAGCAAAACCTTGTCTCCAAAAAAAATACAAAAATTAGCAGGGCGTGGTGGTGCGCACCTGTAGTCCCAGCTTCTTGGGAGCCTGAGGCAGGAGAATCGCTTGAACCCGGGAGGCAGAGATTGCAGTGAGCTGAGATTGCGCCACTGCACTCCAGCCTAGCAACAGAGTACACTCCATCTCAAAAAAAAAAAGGTCAGGGATACTCATTATTACTTGTTTTAAAGTACTAAACTCTGTAAAAATATCTTTGTGCAACAAAGGAAAAATAAACTCTAAAAGAAGATAAGCAATGAAAGCTAAAATTAGGTTAATCTGTGTTTTCAACTTATTCGTGGAAAAGGTTGGATGGATAGCTGCAAGTCATGTAATGAAATATTATGGAATCTATGTGTTGGGTAGTATGGATATTTCTATATATAGAAAAATGGGTTTCCATTTTTCTGTATATTTGAAAGTTTCATAATACTAAATCCTTTCAATATTAAAAGCTCTACAGTTTTGCCTTTAACTTTGTAAACCTTAATCTTGTAATAACTAGATATTTTTATTTTTCTTTCTAGGACTCTCAGCACATCAGTTCTGCAACCCAAAACCAAAGTAAGTAAATTTGAAACTGTTTATTGGATCAGAGAACAAAGCATAGCTTTTACTGTGGTTTTTTTTTTTTTTTTAAAAAAAAACATAAAAAACATTTGTAAAAAATCTCCCAGCAGAGATGAAGCCTCCCTATGTTGAAAGAATAGGATAGGGGAACAAATATAAAACTATAAAACTATTCTCATGCCTATAATCCGAGCACTTTGGGAGGCCAAGGCAGGTGGATTGCTTGAGCCCAGGAGTTCAAGACCAGCCCGGGCCACATGGTGAAACCCTGTCTCTACAAAAAATACAAAAATTAGCTGGGCATGGAGGCTTGCGCCTATGGTCCCAGCTACTTGGGAGGCTGAGGTGGGAGGATCACTTGAGCCTAGGAGGTAGAGGTTACAGTGAGCCAAGATTGCATCACTGCACTCCAGCCTGAGAGAGCAGACCCTATCTAAAAAAAAAAACCCAAAAAAATTGTTGCAAAGAGTTAATAAAGATGTTTCAGTGATATACTAAACAAATATAAAGTGGTGTTACTGACACATAGTAGCTATATCTAATGTGACCCTCAGAGCTAGGAATTGTATACAACAATAGATTGGAGTGTGTGATTCTTATATTTTATAAAACAAAACTTGAAATTTTTATAAGAAATATAACATACAGGGTGGCCGGGCGCGGTGGCTCAAGCCTGTAATCCCAGCACTTTGGGAGGCCGAGGCGGGTGGATCACGAGGTCGAGAGATCGAGACCATCCTGGTCAACAAGGTGAAACCCCGTCTCTACTAAAAATACAAAAAATTAGCTGGGCATGGTGGCGCGTGCCTGTAATCCCAGCTACTCAGGAGGCTGAGACAGGAGAATTGCCTGAACCCAGGAGGCGGAGGTTGCGGTGAGCCGAGATCGCGCCATTGCACTCCAGCCTGGGTAACAAGAGCTAAACTCCGTCTCAAAAAAAAAAAAAAAAAAAAAAAAAAAAAAGAAATATAACATACAGTTTGTCTAGCCCCACTATATTTATTTGCCATGTAATTCTTTTTCAGTCCCTTTTCATGGATTGTAAATACTTGAGAACTTGGAGGGAAATAGAAGAACACTAACTGGATCCAGCTTTTCTCTTCAGTAGTAACCACTCTGATCAATAAATTATTTGTGTGCTATTTGCAAGGCATGTCAAGCCTTACAGACTAGGATAAGCTGGTTGTGATGGTGCGCAACTGTACTCCTAGCTGCTTGGGAGGCTGAGGCAGGAGGATTGCTTGAACTAAGGAGTTTGATATCACCTTGGGCAGTACAGTAAGATCCTGTCTCAAATAATTAAATAGGAAAGTAAATAAAATTGATTAGAGTATTTGTAATCATTTAGTTTATGAAAATATGGTAAGGGGTGCCAGGCATGGTGGCTCATGCCTGTAATCCCAGCACTTTGGGAGGCTGAGGTGAGTGGATCACTTGAGATCAGGAGTTCGAGACCAGTCTGACCAACATGGTAAAACCCTGTCTCTCCTGAAAATACAAAAATTAGCTGGATGTGGTGGTACGTGCCTGTAATCCCAGCTACATGGGATGCTGCGGCAGGAGAGTGGCTTAAACCTGGGAGGCGGAGGTTGCAGTGAGCTGAGATTGTACCACTCCACTCCAGCCTGGGCAGCAGAGCAAGACTCATCTCAAAAATAAATAAATAAAATAAAGGTAGGAGTAATAAGACACTTGCACAGGTGGTGATAACATGGAGCAGGATGTGGTAATTGCCAAAGTTATGAAATACTAGTTTTCAAATGATGGGGAAACCAAAAGTAGGGTATAGAGGTGTATATGCATGTTAGGAGAGGAGAGTTTAGATGATTTTTCCTTCAAATCTGCCCACCTCATCATTTTCCCTCAATTTTTTTAATGTTGTTTGAATTGCAAGGATGTGAAGAGAGAGGCAAAAGTATTAGAAAAGCAAGAAATAGAATATCCTTTCTCTACAACAGAGATGAATAAACTACAACCTGAAGGTTAAATCTGCCCTGCCACTCGGTTTTCTAAATAAAATTTTATTGTGACATAGCTACCCAGTCATTTATTATTCTACAAAGTATAGCACAGAAAACCTAAAATATTTATTGTCTGGCCTCTGTAGGTAAAATTTGCTGTTCCCTGCGCTAGAGATAATGAGTAAGATCTTGCAAAGAAGTCATAACTAAATTTTCCCCCAAATGCAGAGAAACCTGACTATATTGCTACTACAGTATCATATGAGTAGCCAGGTAAAATTCATGGAAATGAATGGCTGCTTGGGGAGATTTGGAAGTCTTTTTTTCTCAACGTTTTGGCAGCTAGCCCAGACCAGTGGAGTGTGTACTGGTCCGAAGGCAGAACACTAGCTCAACCGTGGATGGGGTTGCTGTGTACCTCTCGGCGCTACCCTGCCCCCACCTTCGGTCTTCTTGGGCTGCTGGTCATGTGGTGGTATGTCTTCTGTGGGGTTGCTCATGGTTTGCTTTGTTGCTAACTCATGGTTTAGAAAGAACCTTTAGTTCATTAAACCATTTGATTTTCTCTTTTAGCAAAGTATATTTGAAGATGAACAGGCAAGCACTTTCTTGGCCAGGGATGGATCATCCTTTTGCCCTGGGATGGTTTATCCCCTTGCCCTGTGCAGTAGTGTGGGTCAGTTCCTTATTACTCCAGTGAGAAATTGTCTAACCACTGGTGGGTCTCCTGGAGGTCCTGGCTCACCAGCTGCTTACCCCCAGATCGTTCATGCTGCTGTCACTTTCTTCTGCTATTCTGGGAGCCTTACTTATCTTTGTGAGAATGTGGTCTTTGTGGCCTGAAAAAGAGGAATCTAGTTTGTTGTATGTTGGATGAAGAGGATGATGGGGTATGGATGGATATAGCTTTCAGTGAAGAGAAGACACACGTTTCTTAAAGTATGCCCAGCACGTCAACTGATTTCTTCAACACTGATCTTACGGTACTGGTACATAGGTTTTAGAGTCTGTGGGGAGGGGAAGTATGGGGATTTTACTTGGATGCGCTAATGTTATATGTCCACAATTGCAAAAACATAACCAGACCCTGTGGAATTTAGAACCCAGTCAAAATGATCCTGTAGAGTCCCTGTGAAGGGTCAGAAGAGGGGCCTTTGCCCCTCTCATTTGAAGTCTTGGTCCTAGCTTTCTAGACCAAGGGGAGGCCATTTGAAAACATCATATGAGAGCTGCTGCCACCATGAGGGTAAAGTGACTAATTACAGATATGCAAGGTCTTCACATGACATGTGTGGGAAATGTCATTCAGCCCTGCCTAAAAGGTACCTATGTTTCTTTCTCACTTCCAATTCTGTTTCAGATCCCTATTACCTCATGTCTAGACAAATGCAGCTGCCTCCACATGTAACATTTCCTGCTTCCTTCTAAGTTATGTCAGGTAGCACTACCAGAGTAATCCTTCTGAGAAATCACTGTGTCATGTTCCTGTTTAGATCATTGATGTGTCTTATCGCCCAGCAAATATAATCATAACTTCCCATCCTGCCCTTCAGAGCCCTCTGAAATCTGCTTCCACCTGCTTCAGTGCCGCCCAGCACGGATTCAGCACCTCAGCCCTGCTCTTTCCAAACTCAGACCCTCTCTTCATGTTTGCTCCCACCTTTCTCTCTCTCTTGCCAGCATCACTCTGCCAGAATCTTGGCTGTCCTTTGTAACATAGTTCATTTTGTTCTTTCTTGAATTTGCCTTCTTTGGCATTAGCAAGAGAGCAACCATACTGTGGATTCCCAGGGCAGTTAATTTATGTGATTGACCTGTGTCTTCATCTCACACTGCCTAGGATTACAGATAATTCATGGGCCCATTTCATGTCCCTCAGTCAACTGTGAGCTCTTCGAGGACAGGGCCAAATGCCTTAAACATGTTGGTCTCTATGAGGCCATATGTAAAAATAGCTGCTGAATGAATGAATTGCAGGTGGGGAGTTGAATAACGAAGGGACAGGTGGGAGGGAGCGCACCTAGGACTGGGCTGTCAAAAGGGAATGACAACAAATCACTGATATCTGTGTCAAGTCACTTGGGGGCCAGGGCACTGGGAGCATAGCCCTGGCAGCGTCCTTCCATGTAGGCGTCCACCCTGTCAAGGACAGGGAGATCTTCCAACACGTAGGAGAATTCCTGGCATCATAGGTAGGGTATACTGCAAGCATTGCTTTTCAAAGTGTTTTTGGCCTATTGAGAGTTTCTTGATTCTGAACAAGCCTTCTCTCTAGAAGTAACATATATGTCATCTTACAATGGTGGGATTGTACCAAGTATGCAGTGTGATCAGGTGGAAAGTGGGGAGGGACAAGAAAGAACTCACAACTAACGACGCTGTAAGTATATGTCATTTTGTTGCTCTGATAATGTTTCCCTTCCCCACAGAACAAGATGATACATCTTCAAAAACCCACCCAAATTCTCAGCAAGGAACATCGTCGTAAGTAAAATGCTTTTTGTTTATTAAAAATTTGTAGTATGAAATTATAATGGCTCATCTAATGTATGGCTTAGATTTTTTTCCTGCTTTTATGTAATGACATGAATAAGATACTGCTGCATTGTAAAGGGAAGAGACGGCCCACGTTAATTTCTGTTTGTTTGATTTTTCTGAGACGGAGTTTTTACTCTGTCACCCAGGCTAGAGTGCAGTAGCACAATCTCGGCTAACTGCAACCTCTGCCTCTTGGGTTCAAGCGATTCTCACGTGTCAGCCAGCTACTCAGAGTAGCTGGGACTGTAGGTGCCTGTCACCATGCTCGACTAATTTTTGTATTTTTAGTAGAGACAGGGTTTCATCACGTCGGCCAGGCTGGTCTCAGATTCCTGACCTCAAGTGATCCGCCTGCCTCGGCCTCCAAAGTGTTGGGATTACAGGCGTGAGCCACCATGCTCAACCTAATATTTGGATTAAGTTCCCCTACTGAAGACCTATGTAGCATTGGAGAGTTTGCTAAAGGGTCTTCTTGAGGTGAAAAAAGGTTTTTGAGCCATTATTTACACGTTAACTGTGAAAATAGAAGGCCTTGGCTTTTAAAACGTCAGTCTTAAATAGCCTTAGCTGTTGGAAACAAGTTTTGGGGGATGTGCACAATTGAAGGTTTTCTGCCCCTTTTTGGCCTAATTTGCTAATGAAGAGCTAATCTTATTGCCCAGCTATTCTTTATTAAGGCCAGTAAGTTCATATATATTTTGGGTTTTTGGAACATTTTAGACTGCATATTAAAGATTTTTAAATTGGCATTTTTGACCCAATTTGTCATTTCTCGATGGTGTTTAACTGTTACTTATTTATTTTCCCATGACAAGATGTGGTCGTAGGGACTGAGTGAGGAGGCTTTCCTTCATTATCTGATCTGTCACTGTCTCTGTGTTGCTAGTCTCAGGATTTCAGGTGACCCAGGAGTTTAAGCTCCAGCTTTTAAGAACCAAATACTGAGCTGAAGAGGTTATTCTGTCTTCTTGCCATGACTAAATGTGAAACTGGGTTAAGTGATTGTTTTCCAAGTGCCGGTTCCTTGATGTACTTTGTTTTCATTTCATCATAGCTAAATGAGGGGGAAAAAGGAACATGAAGATGAGGTGTTTTTTTGGTCTGAAAGACGGGTATTGTGCCTGTGGTAAAAGACTGTGTTTTATTTGTGGTACTGGTAGATGATGAGGTTGGTTTGGTTGTTGTTTTTAATGCCTTTTGCTGAGAAAGTAAATGTTACCTTTTGTCAGTTATTCGTTTTGTTTTGTTTTGAAACAGGGTCTTGCTCTGTCTCCCAGGCTGGAGTACAGTGGACTACAGGGGCACTCCCAGTTATTTTATTTTATTTTATTTTATTTTGTTTGTTTGTTTTTGGTAGAGGTTGGGCCTCCTTGTGTTGCCCAGGCTAGTCTCCAACTCCTGGGCTAAAGCAGTCCTCCTGCTTTAGCTTCCCAAAGTGCTGGGATGACAGGTATGAGCTTCCACATTTAGCTTCTTTTTTTTCCTTTTCTTTATTTTTGGAGACAAGATTGCTATGTTGCCTAAGCTGGAGTGCAATGGCTATTCACAAGCCCAAATAGCACACTGCAGCCTCAAAGTTGTGGGCTCAAATAGTTCTCCTGCCTCAGCCTCCTGAGTAACTAGGACTACAGGCACAGCCCACTATGATGGTTCCCCTTCCCTTTTCTCTTTCAGCTTTTTTTTTTTTTTTAACACTTTTACTTAGTCTGTTTTAACATATTTTTAAAGACAGGGTCTTGCTTTGTTATCGAGGCTTGTCTTAAACTGCTGAACTCAAGTGATCCTCCAGCTGCAGCATCCTGAGTAGCTGGATTACCAGCACACACCACCATACCCCTTTATCTCTCTGGAAATTTTACTGGCTGCTGATTTTAAGACTCTCAAGTCACTGACGTGGATTACATTTAAGGAAGGAGGAGGTTTGTTAAACCAGTTGAGGGCTGGTAGGGAGTAGAATCTGCAGATCAAGGACCACAACTGTAAGAATCCTATAGAAGCGCTGTGGTCTCCCCAGGGTTTTACATGGGGTGTTTCTTTGCAATGGTTGTTGTCAAGCCCTTTAGAACATAAAAGACCTTGACCATTGTCTTTGGGGCAGCCAGGAAGGGCATTAAAGCCTGGGCATCCTAATTGGCTATAAGCATAGAGGGGAGGAGCTCTCCCAGGAGTACAGTGGTTGGAGCAGTTGCACCAAAGTGGGGAAGTCACTGTGTCTCTGGACTGTGGGTAAAGGAAGAAAGGCGGCTGGGTCTGATCAACACCTGAGAGGCAGCCTCAGACTAAGCCGGCAAAAGTCACATTCTCTCACTCTAGTTTCTGTCAGCTTTCAGAGACAGACCATTCCTGCGATGACTCTGTTCAGTGAAATGAGTGGGGTTTATTTGTTTTTTTTTTTTTTTTTTTTTTTTTTTTCTGGAGTCAGAGTCTTGCTCTGTCACCAGGCTGGAGTGCAGTGGCCTGATCTCGGCTCACTGCAATCTCCGCTTCCCGAGTTCAAGCAATTCTCTTGCCTCAGCCTCCTGACTAGCTGGGATTACAGGCGCACGCTCCCACACTCAACTAATTTTTGTATTTTTTTAGTAGAGACGGGGGTTTCACTATGTTGGTTAGGCTGGTCTTGAACTGACCTCATGATCTGTCCACCTCAGCCTCCCAAAGTGCTGGGATTACAGGCATGAGCCACCGCGCTCAGCCTGAAATGGATGACTTTCTTGATAGCAGTGTTAAACCACTCATATCAGAAGTGCCTAAAGGTTGCTAACAACTATATTGTGAAATGTAGTGTTTGCTTTGTAATAACTATTCATTTATACATATAAAATTATCTAGGAAAAAATATTTGTGATGATCCGAATAGATTTACAGAAGGGGTGAAAGTATAGGACCTAGTGGAAGGGAGGAGAAGGAAGAGTAACACAGAAGAGAAATGATACTGAGGCTGAATAGATAATGAAGGTTGTGTGGATTTAGTGATTATGTGGGGGATGGCCATGGTGATATTGATAAGTGCCAAAATGAAACGTACCCCTGGGAAAAAGGAATGACTTTTATGAACTCACTTTTAATGGAGATTAGATGAAAGTAGTGTCCCAATTAATTTGCAAATTGCAATCATTGTTTCAGATTTGGTATGGCAAATCTCTGAGTACTTGCAGGTTAATTTGATCTATTGTCAGCGTTAGGTTTCTTTGACATGCAGTTAAGCTATTTGAGTGGCACATAGAGTGCTAGGGAGATATTCTAATGCATTTTGAATGTCAGAAAAAATTATTAATTACAGGGTCATTTATACTTTGGTTTAAAAAATCAATCTAAGTCTTAATGCTTTTTCTTTCGGAGTTATGAGGACTTGGGAATCCTTAGACAAGTGGAATAGGACATATAAAAGGATAAAAGAGGGGCACAGCAATAAAGGGTAAGCTTGTGAGCAGGTCTGTATTAACGCAGATATGGGTAGAGGGTAGCAAGGTGGTAGAAGGATATAGGTGTGAAATTTAATGTAATGGTTTAGCATTTATTTCTCTCTGTAGTTTTAGCTGTAGTTATTTCTCAAATAATGAATTCCTTCTGTAAAGTTCTGTAGGTAACTGATTAGCTAGGATGTTAGTGCAATTTGCCACAAAGTTTAAGAGAGGGCGTGTTTGTCTAAGGGTTCTTGGCTTTGGAATCCTCCTCCTTTCCAAGGCTTAGATCTGTGAAGTGCTGAGGACAAAGTACAAAGTATTTCCTTTTTTTTATACAGTAATTGTGTCCTTCACGTAACTGTGGACAATTCTCTTTCTGTGCAGCCAGGTTTAGATTACTGGCGTCAGTGCGTTTGAAGGCGGACAAAGTGTTAATATTTTAGAAACTAAACGGCAATTTATTTGTTTCCAGCTAATTTGTTTCTTCCCCCACTCCAAAATTGCCAAGTGCTTACAAAAAGGTGCCTTCCATTATTTTTCTTTTTTGCCTCAAGAGATAGAAATTAGTCATTATAGCAATTTGAAATTTTTATTACTTATGTGGGAAGTTTCTTTTGAAATGAGGGAAATTTCTGGATGTGAAGGCTGAGATGGGGATTGTCCCTGGAGTTGGAAGCGGAGGACTGGTGACAAGTTAATAAAGGCTGGGGTGAGTCCGGTACCTTTCAAGTGAGCCTGAGTTTCCAGCTTTTACGCAAAACATTGTTGGATTTTAAATATCTTGGTAAAGAACTAAGGAAGACTCATTCTATCTATCTATTGTAATGTAAAATTGTCACATCAGGACGTAAGTAGTGTCCACTGAAATGTACTAGAATCAAGTCCGAAGACATGCTTTACTTGTAGCATATTTAAACATAGTTAGTCTAAGGAAATTAAATTTTTCCTCTAGTGTTTAAATGTTAACTTACACAGTTTGAACCTGAATATTTCATTGGCAGGTCCAATTGAAAGTACAATTTACTGATAAATAATATGGAAGTAGTAGAAATCTGCCCCATGTGTAAAGCTTAGAACTTGACATTGAAGTAATATCTGCATCCCTTATTCACAGTTCTTCACCTCCCCCAAAACAAGGAATGAACATTTGTGCTGGTTATTTGTACATCTGTAGATCTGCATAAAACCTTCAGCATCGTAGAACATTTATTAATTAAAAAATTTTTTTCCCTAAGTGTTCATCTCACTTTTTATTTTCCTTTTTTGAAACCATTGAAACCATCTCATTCTGTCACCCAGGCTGGAGTGCAGTGGAGTGACCTTGGCTCACTGCAGCCTCCACCTTCTGGGTTCAAGCAGTCCTCCTACCTTTCCCTCTCGAGTAGCTGGGAGTACAGGCACGCACCACCATACCTGGCTAATTTTTTTTTTTTTTTTTTTTTTTTTGAGATGGATTGTCACTCTGTAGCCCAGTCTGAAGTGCAGTGACATGACCTCGGCTCACTGCAGCCTCCACCTTCCAGGTCCTGGTTCAAGCAGTTC